AAATAGTGACAAAAAAATCAATATACTTTAGTAAATATTTGTTTAACACATTTTATTACATACATGATGTACAGTTATATGTATGTCAATTAGAGATTATCTAGTATAGGGGTTGTGGAGATTATTAAGTTTTTGATTGAGATCATGAATCGATTGATGTTAGACCACCACAATTGAAAACCTGGAAGCACTGGACGGCCGTTTCGTCCTATTGTGGGACTCCTCAGCCGTGCGCATCCACGATCCCGCTCGCGGGATTCAAACCCAAGGCCTTCGGTCTCGCGTGCGAACGCTTAACCAACTAGGCCACTGAGCCGGCATCTAGTGGTGTTAATGTCTAACCTCAACCAATTCACGAAATCGCGCGACCAACTTCCGTTGTACTGAGGTAGATACCTGTCTCTACCCAACAAGGATTAGCTCCACTGGTCACGGCTTCTCACTAGAACTCCGAGAATTCCCTCACGAAGCTAGTCACTAGTGAGGACATGTTGATTACTAGTATAGGGGTTGTGAAGATTATTAAGTTTTTGATTGAGATTGAGATTATCTATTTAAAAGCACTGTACAATTTGTATAACTGATGAGTAGGAAGGAGATTCTGTGAATCCAATATTGACTTATAAATATTAGAAGGGGTTTTGTAGATATTATAGTAGTTTTAATAGTTGAGATCATGAGTCAATTGAAGCTAGATCATCATTGAAAATCTGGTGGCAATGGAGTTCAACCGGGTTTGTTGTGAGATAGTAGCTTACTGAAGACAATGTTGAATTACTTGAAGTTAGACATTAACACCGTTGGAAGCCGTCCGGCCCAGTGGTCCAATGGTTAAGCGCTCGCTGTCCTGGATTGTAATCTCACGAGGCGAGATCTCAGATGCGCACTGTTGAGGAGTCCCACAATAGGACGAGTTGGCTTTTCAGTGCTTCCAGGTTTTCCATGATGGTCTAGCTTCAATTGACTCATGATCTCAATTATTATAAATAATCAACTTCAATGTACACTTTATTATTTAGTGTTGAGTAATATAGGAAAAAATTTGGTTTAGATCAAATCAAAATATGTGATATTCCCATGAATTTCGTCAACTAGTGTACTCAGTCATGTCTAAAGCTGTACATTTTATATTTGGTTTCTTTCAGATAGTTGAATTTGTTATGTATTTTCTTGTAAACCCTGAGCATATGATTATTCCACGTTGAACAGTAAATTGTATGTTTAATTTTTCACAGTTATTACCTTATATTCTCTTGTTATAATAGATGGATTGTAATCAGTAACGAAATTCAGGTGTACTTCCACTTGTTCCATACTTATTATCTTGCTGTATCTGCATCCAAGTGTCGATGTTCACATAAATGCTCGAACTCATTACCTTTGCTTCAAATGCCAAACATATTCGAACAACGATAAGCGTATTACGCTCATATGATTTTGAGATGGTGGAGAAGCCAAACATATTCTCCAATGAGTTATTGAATAGAGATAGCCACTAACTATTTTAACTGTTATGAAGTTTATCTCATTATTAACCAAAGTTTGAATGATCCTATTCGTAATATTCAGAACTAAGATTTGAACAGTTCCTTTTTGGCATATGTACATCGTGTGATAATTACGTATATATAACAATTACACAGAAAGTATATGTAGCGACGAAGATTATTTAAAATTTAGTTTTAAACATAAACAACAGCATTATTAAAACCCTAACTAATGGTGATATTTACCGCCTTTGTTTTATACTCTCTCACATTGTATTGATGTCAAGTGTACCAACTTAATTAGATATAGATTCAAGCTATATATATGTTTTTTCGTTAAAATCATGAGTCGATCTAACTTGAAAAATCATCGGAAACTTAGGAACACCACCCAGATGTTTTTTTGGTTTCCCATTATCCGTTGTTCACTAGTGATTAGCTTTGAGAGGAAATTTCCCAAGTTCTAATGAGAGGCCAAGACCAGTAGAGCTAGATCGTACCTGGTATGAAGGTACGCACTGAAGACAATGGGAGATGGTTGTGCAATACAACGGGATGATTGAATATAGATATATACACTACTGAATGCCGGCCTGGTGGTCTAGAGTTTAAACATCTGCACACAAGACTGAAGGTTTTAAGTTCAGTTCCTAGTTGCATGGTCATAACTGTTCATTGCTAAAGAATATTATACTAGGTTGAACCTAGGCCCCCCAGTTCCGTCCACGAGTGCTTAATCTCTACACCACTAAACTAGAATCCAGTGACTTAGGTATCCAAATTCAGCTATCCAATGATATTGCGTAACTCTCTACAATTGTCTACTATGGACATATGCTTCATAATCGACATGATTGAACTCCACTGGTCACGACTTTTCTCTAGAACTGTAGAATCATCTGTTGAAACTAGTCACTAGTAAGTCCACGATGATTACCAGTTAAAAGATTTGTGGAAATTATAGAACTTAAGTTTGTAGTACTTAGCTAAAACATTATCACTGTCCATAAGATAAACAAGGATCATAACGAAATGAAAACTCACCAAGTCTTCTCACAAATATAATTTAAACTGATCAGCTGAAGACACTGAGAATACGTTTAAATGATTGTTTATCGAAAATTACAATATATTATCACAAGGTTATATAATGACCGCTATAAGCTGTCACAATAATAATTAAAGCTTATTAGTTTTTACATTACGTTTGCATTGCTTTTAGAGTTTCAATGATAAAAGACTGCAAAACAAGTACTGCATGTGAGAACGAAAACATTCTAAGTAATTAACAGACAAAATAATTAAAATTATGACTTGGAAAATGTATATCGTCTTATTGATACTTGAATTTTAATTTTGATTTATCTTTAGTCCCCGAATTCCCTGTTACCGTCGAGGGTGGGGAGAGTCAGCTCTCTCTCTCCAAATGCTCTCAAGTGGCCACGTGCATACAACCACTACCAGAGAAGTCATAATCACTGCCTTCTGGTGACGGGGATGTTGTTTACAAAATTGAGAGGACGAAAAGCGAATGTCCGGTGCCTTAACCGGGTTAGTGGATATGAAGGATCCACAGAGGGGAGTTGGAAGACCCCGATTCCAAACCAATGGTTAACATGGACTTCAGTATCCTGAAAGAACAAACGGCGTCTGAACTAATTGTTGGTGACCGGCTACCATGAGACTGAATCTCTTTACGTTTCTCCACTGCCTTGTGGATTAAACCTTTCGGTTGAAGTCTCAAGGTGTAGCCCATTAAGAAAATCACCTACTTCAGTGTGGGCAATCGGGAAGTATCACAGTTCACACACAAATCAAGTGGCTTTTGTGGCGCATATGTATTCGATTTTTAGGGAGTTTTACAAGCTCATACCAAATTTCTTCTGTAAAATAGCTGATGACTGTCAACGCACTGATTTCCGCATATAGTTCTTTATAGTTAAATTATTAGGTGGGATATTTTTCCCAGTCAATCACATTTTTTTCTAAATTAACATGAACCATATAATTGAGAATATTCTCATAGTTGCTTAGAAAATACCATGAGCTTTATATTAAAAAAGGATTTCTCTGTTAGACAGTTTTCTTTGTTGACTTTTTCTTAGGAAAAACATCTAAGCTGAATTCCGGTTTAGTATAGTTTTTTAGGTTCAGTCACTTTAAAGTCAATAACTATTGATGACTTAGATTTCTTGGCAATCAATGCATAATGAATACAATTAAGGATATGATATCACTAACATTTTCATAGTATCAGAAGGGTTTATTCTTTGTGGATATTATAATCATTTCAATGGTTGAGATCATGAGTAGTCAATTGAAGCTAGATCACCATGGAAAATCTGGAAGCACTGGATGGCCAACTCGTCCTATTGTAGGACTTCTCAGCATAGTAGGCAATAATCTTAGAGATAAAATACTGGACTATAAGTCACTCAATTACAACTGGAAGTGTTGTGTATCATTCCAAAAGTGCGTAAGCCAATGTAGTTATCTCTGAGATTGTGTCTTATAGAGATAAATAAGTATAAATGTTTGATAATATCACATTTTATAGTCTACAGACCGATATTAACTTGGGGTAAAAATCACTATCGAATAATGTTAACAGTCAAAATTGTATTATTGACTATGAGACCTGAAAATTTTGGCTTAAATCAACGGAATTATGAGTGTATAATAATGAGGAACTCATAAAAAGATGAAACATGTATTCAATCTTTTCCATTTTCCAGTGATACTATAACTAGATTATTCTATGACGAATAGAACCTATGAATTAAACCGATTTCCATTAAAACCCCTTCAATAAGAATAAAAATCCATGATCATTTCGTGGTTGATAATGAGTACCATTTTATCTGAGCTAAGGTCATCACTAGAATTATCTTCTCAAACAAGTTTAACTTACTAATACAACATATGCTCACTTCTAAGAAGTCCCACAATAGGAAGAGTTATCCATCCAGTGTTTTCAGGTTTTCCATGGTGGTCAAGCTTCAAACGACTCATGATCTCAACCGTTTAAATTACTACAATCTCCAAAAAACCCCTTCTGATACTAATCAACATATGCTCACTAGTGACTGGCTTCAAGATATATATCCTGAAGTCCTATTGAGAAGCAGTGACCAGTGAAGTTCAACCGAGTTAGTTGTGAGGTAGGGTATGTCACTCAATTTCGTGCATTAGTTGAAGTTAGATATTAACACTGTTGAATTCATAACCGGCTCAGTGGTCGAATGGTTAAGCGCTAGCGCGCGAGACTGATAGGTCTTGGTTCCAAATCCCACCAGGTGGGGTCGTGGATGCACATTGTTTAGGAGTCCCATTCTAGGACGAAACGGTCGTCCAGTGCTTCCAGGTTTCTCACGGTGGTCTAGCTTCAATCGACTCATGATCTGAACTATTGAAATTACCAAAATCTTCACAAAATCCCTTCTGATACATATCAAAAATGTTGAACGAAATGGATAATACACTTTAAAATAATAAAAAAAAACTATCAATTACCTGATAATAAAGTAGTTGAATTTGTTTTACTATACGTTTTGAAGAGAATTCAACACAAACACATTTTGACATACAAAATACAAATATTAAACTGGCCATTAAGAAATACCATCCCAATAATTCATATATATTATCAGAAGAAGAACTATTCAACATTCCATTGATCATAGAACGAAAAACCAATATACTAGCTGGGAATATTATACCCAATAATATTGCACATATATTTCCAATGATAATCAATAATTTATTACTAGTGGAAGCATATTGAAACTACAAAAAATAATGTATCATATTTCAACAAATACAAACAAACTACTTACAAGTTTTCTAAATGAAACATCATCATCATTCTTCTTCTTCTTCACATTTTCATCATGACTGAAAAGTAAGAGGAAGAAATAGTTTCAAAACAAATTACATCATTACTTGATAGATTTCTGGCTTAAATTGATTTGAGTATTGGGTAGTTGATGATTATCAGTCATTACATTGAACAATGGAATAACAAGGAAGTACAAGAATGATATATAAATGTAAATGTTATTACTATGTTAGATATGATCAACGTTTGATTGGTTCAATTTTTTTTTTAAAAAGTATCAATGTAATTTAAACCAATAGAAGTTAACTAAATGCTTACACCAATATTAATGGTTAAGATCATGAGTCAATTGAAGCTAGACCATCATGGGAAACTTGGAAGCACTGGACGGCCAACTCGTCCTATTGTAGGACTCCTCAACAGTGCGCATTCACGACCCCGTCTCGTGAGATTCGAACCCAGGATCTATCAGTCTCGAGCGTGAGCGCCTAACTATTCGACCACTGAGCCGGTTATGAATCCAATAGTGTTAATGTCTAACTCCAATTAATCCACGAAATTCAGCGACACGTCGACTGTTATCTTCAGTCAGTTATTATCTTACAACAGACACGTTTGAATTCCACTGATCACTGCTTCTCACTAGAATTCCAGGAAATACCTCTTGAAGTCAGTCACTAGTGAGCATATGTTGATTAGTATCAAAAGGGAGTCTGTAGATATTATAGTAATTTTATTGGTTGAGATCATGAGTCAATTGGGGAGTCCCACAATAGGACGAAACAGCCATTCAGTGCTTCCAGGTTTTTCATGGTGCTCTAGCTTCGACTGACTCATGTTCTCAACTGTTGAAATTACTGCAATCTCCACAAAACCACTTCTGGTACTAATCATTTGGTATTTGTTTGTTTGTATCTTCCTATTTTAGGTTTGTAATTGATGAATCTTTTGTTGTTATATATATATATATATATATATATATATATATATATATATATATATATATATATATATATATATATATATATATATATATCCTATACAGACTGTCTCGATGTTGTCTTAATTCACAAGCATTCTAAGCAAAGATGGATAAAGGTTAGCTATGGAATCCAGTTTGACGCGCGTTTCGTCCTATCTGAAACTTGTCAGCTGGATGTACTTCCATCTCAGAGTTGATATTCACTCTGGGACACGAATACAGTACTAGTCGCTTCAAACGCCATCGTGTTATTCACTTAGCTATTGAGTCCTAATATCCTCTTGCTTTTACAATGGGCTGGAGTTTTAAATTTACTTGGTATTATTTTACTTGAATCTTCCCATAGATGTTTAATACTATAATTGATCAGTCTCTTGTTGGCATATGTATATCCTGTGCAAACTGCCTCGATATTGCTTTAATTCGCAAACATCTTAAGCAAAGATGAATAGCGGCTAGCAGTGGAATCCAGTTTGATGAGCATCTCGTCCTATTTGGAACTCGTCAAAACGAATAGTTTGACAAAAATTGGATGCCGAGTATATAGAAGCCATTATTTATGAAAATTATATTTAAATTAATCTCAATGATTGAAATTTGAAATAATTCCAACGTTTCGTCCAACAAACTTGTCTGAACTTCTTCAGGGTAATAAACTATCAAAGATAGATTACAAACATACTGCTTTAATGAAAAGACAGGTGAATTCTCAAATATATAGACAGATCAATCGTGACATACAATAAAAACTAACTTAATCAAGAAACTAAAGTGTAAAAATGTTGAACTAAATTTGAATGAGGAAATACCAATACATAACTGTAATGTACATATTTGAATTAAACTTCTGAATATTTACGACCGATTTTAACCTGACAATTTTTAGACTACACAGTTCAGCTATAATTTTAAGAGTTGAGATCATGGGTCAATTGAAGCTAGACCACCATGGAAAACATGGAAACACTGGACAGCCAATCCGTCCTAATGTGGGACTTCTCAGCAATGCACATCCAACCAAGGATCCATCAGTCTCGCGCGCTAGCGCTTAACCATTCGAACACTGAGCCGGTTATGAATCCAACAGTGTTAATGTCTAACTTCAACTAATGCACGAAATTGAGTGACACATCCAATATTGTCTTCAATGAGTTACTATCTTCCAACAAACCCGGTTGAACTACACTCAGCTATAAGATATTTTTCCCAATTTAGTGATTATCTGATTGTCTAAATAATCAAGCCAGAATTATTGATTGTTGACATTTTCAATCACTTACCCATTGGTATGGAGAATAGCTGAGTTGCTGGAATTTCTCAAGAAATATGATTAGAAGAAACAGAATTTAGCGAAGAAAATTTTACTTTCCACGAAATCATTTACTTAAGCTGTACATTCGTTTATATAGTTATATGGAAATTATATGTCTATAGAAGGATAGAAAAGATTAAATCATAAGTTGATTCGAGACTCTTATTATTATCGAAACATACCAATAAAGGGAATTAAGGCCAGGGAAGAATGTGAGTTTGGACGAATCGTTTCTGCACGCAAATTTCGGGTTTGAGTTCATGGATAGCCCTATGTCACAGCAATGCATAAAATATTGATTCGACATCCTTTCGATCCAATACATTTGACTGTGTAGATTACTTTAAAAGAATACTCCTTTGGAGTGATGTGTCCACAATTGATAAAATACTCCTGTATAGAACTAGTAACTGTTTTACATTCTCCTTTTAAAAACCATGCCTGATAGTTTTCTGAGATGCATTTGTGCGGCCAATGTAACTTATCCTACATGAAAAAGTAAATTTATAGGTGCACATTGATGTGGTCCAAAACGGAAGTTTATTTTTAATACATACATGAATGGTAGGCCAGCATGAGAAAGCAATTCGGAGCTTATCTGCCTAGAACGTTTTATTCAACAATTTTGAAACCCGTTTATTTAAGATTTCAGCAGCTGTATTTCCTTTAAATTCCACATGCATAAAACGGTTTTCTTTTGTACTGTCGTTGCTTTTCATGATGATTTCTAGGTGTTAAGCTGCTATCGACGAATCTGGGAGGATAACTATTCCTCATGAGGGTCTGTCGAAGTTGAAATAGTTCTTCATCTATTGTGTCAGTAGAATATATTCATCTGATCCTTGAGAATAAAGAGTGAATTAAGTTCCTCTTTCTACTTAATCGGACTCAGCTGTGAAGATTCGAGTACTGCCCTTTCCAGGTTAATTTTCTATATGTAGATCTCTATAAAAAACTATCCGACCTTATTTTCAATCGGACATCAAGAAAATGAGATTCATTGTTTGCCTCTATTTCTAAGGTGAATTGAATTGAGGAATGGCAATTACTGAAACTATTCAAAATTTTCATTGAGGTCCATGTCATCTTCACAAATAATAAAAATATCATCCATATATCTCTAACGTAAATGAAATCTCTCTATTATTGGTCGAAGTATCAATCATCATTAAATCTAAATTGTACATTGAGATCACATCGTAGAAGTAGCTCTTTTAGTTAATGTTTTGAGATACAAATATCAAGGTTAATGTTTTGGTGGAGTTTTGTTGTCTGAGCTCAGAGAACAAAACTCCACCAAAATCATCCACCTGAGCTACAAATCTTCTCCACCATCTCAAGGTTATTGTTTCCAATATAGTCACATAAAAAACATAGTTTCTGTGAGAGGAACATCTGTAAAAAGTGAAGTGACATCTAATGAGATCATTTTCCTACCATTTGCATTGATATTTCTAATTAAGTCGACAAAGCGTCAAAGGAATCAAGAGAGTTGTATTTATTGATATGATTTTTAACGTGTTGTAAACTATTGGCTAACCATTTAGCAAACAGGTGATACGGAGAGTTGTTCATATCAAGTATAGGACGTAGAGGGACATTATTCTTATGATTTTTTGGGAGTCCACATAGTCTTAGTATAACGGAACCAGATAGTTTAAGATGAACATAGAGGTCACAATTGATAATAAACTCATCTTTCATCTTCTTTAGGGTTTTAATTAGCATCTGTTCCTTTTTTCAGTTGCGTCTTTTTGAACGGTTTCTTTGGAGAATTTGACAGGATCAGATAATATCGAGGACAGTTTGATGACACAGTCATAACAATCAATCAGGATAATTCCTACACCCTTGTCTGAGCGACATAACACTAAGTCCTGATTTCTCCACAGATCAATTAATTGAGATTTATGTTCTTTTGTGAGCAATCAACTAATTGTAGGTATTTTATTTACATATTGATTACAACAGTCTACAAGAGTTGTTTTGAAATGTTCATAATCTTTATTAGATATTGGAATAAGGTCATTTGTCTGACTAATGAGGCTTTCAGATTCAATTTTAGCATTGGGTTTATTAATGTTAATTGACTCACTACAAAATTTAGAACCAAGATATAATGCTTGTAGCATTTCGGAAAAAAACGTGTGGTATTATCAAGTCGCAGTTGACTATGATCACCACTACAGATCGATTACGTGCCAATTGCCAAGTTATATCCCTCTGTAGGATAAATATTAGGACAGTTATAAATTGTAGTTAAGATATATTTGATGGTGATCTTGTGGTATCGAAATAATACCAAGATCAAGCTAAAGTTTACAGGCGAGACTACCGTGCGTACGTGAGTAAGTTCAAGGTCACAAAACAAAAGAAAAAGTCAGTTTTTGGTACAATTAAACAAAAAGGTACAATAAACATAATCATTGGTACAGTTGGTTATAATAATAAAATGCTTCCATTACACCAATCACATTCTCTTCATAGATGTAGATCACTACAGAACTTTGAGTCTCGGTCTGTTTTAAACTGTTCATTAATTTCTAGATCACATCTTCCGTACAACTCTTGCCAACAGTATCAATGTAATCTTTGAATTTGAAATATTGATCAAAATATGATTACATACAGTAGTGAAAAGTTTCCGAAATCGATTACTTATACATCAGAATTAAAGATAATTAAGTTTAGTCTAGTTGGTTAAGCGCTTGGTACGAGATTGATAGGTCATGGGTTCGAATCTTGCGGGGTGCGGGATCGTGGATGCTCCCATATTAGGACGAAACGGCCGTCCAGTGCTTCCAGGTTTTCCATTGTGGTCTAGCTTCAATTTATTCATGATTTCAATCTGTGAAATTAAATTTTTTTATTATAGATCTAGACTACT